CAGGGGTTTCTGACAGACGGGTGACTGGAAACCTCGATTTTCTTCTACAGTTCCTCCCGCCCGAAAATGTGGGATATCCCTGCATTGGCCGAGGTCGTCCAAGCCCCTTTCCGCCATCATTTGTACAGCCATGCATATGAGAGCTACGAAAAATTGAATATGACCCCCCCCAGTTCTGAGAGAGCCAAGAATCCCCGGTTGGTAGAGGTGGCTCGAGGGGTCGAGACACCTCGAAACCCGGGTCCTAGAACCCCCCTGGGGCCTCGAACCCAATGCAAAAAACTCGACTCGATTTGGTTAAGTGTGGGGCATTTCGTGACCCAAAACGTGACCTAGGGTTTTGCAGGCGGTTGAATGCCAATGATACTTCTACCTTAAAACCGTTTATGTGACGACTTTGTCGACACAGCGGACGTTCTTTGCCTGCGCACGTACTCGACCGAGGGCCTTCTGGGCTCAATAAAAAGGGCTCTCCTCTATACTAAGTCCGGCCGCACAACGCTTTCTCTCTGCCAAGGCAGAGGATAAGTTAGTTGGCATCATTGGATTTGATTCCAATTTGTGAAGCCAGTAAAATTCATTGGCAAGCAAACCCCGAATTAAACCTGCATGACCGTACCGCCAAAAGAATTCACCAGAAAATAAATATTTTGGGGTCGGTGTAAAAATATGGAAAAACTACATTGGGACCTGAGGGTGAAAAGGCGAAATAAAGAAAATGATTAAAAATACCCCTTTTCTGCTGATTTGCCTGGCAAAATATCAAAATTCTGATTTGTGCGAAATGTAAAATAAATATCTGAATCGCAAGAAAACGTGACGAGACACCTAGAATCAATAAACCTTCTCACGTGCCACGGTGCAAATTAACGAAATTTCGGACTCGTGCCACAAAACGAGAAGCGCTATCATGCTGATTCCTACCGTCGGCCGGTCCAGACTCCAAGCTGCTTCATCGACCGCTCAGAAATTTTCAAAAGAGCCTTTGATAACCGTTCGATGCGCACGTTTCTCTGGCGCCCCGTTGCGATGCTTTCATCAATCATTAAATCCTCATGAAAAGCGGACGGACCGCCAGAATATATCGATGAAACAATATCTAAATGAAAGTAAAGTCAAGGTTTCAGTACCGTCGATGCCGCTTGAGGAGGCATCGACGGCCTCGACCATGTGTGGTTTCAGGACCTACCGACTCCTCGACGGTACCCGGGGATTATGACTGATGTTATTCACCGGGCACAAAATGCATTTTACCTATCTCAATACAGTGACCCGGCAGTGTCACCGGGAAAACTGAGAGGTCTCCGGGAAGTAGCTCGGCACCATGCCGGTGCCCGGTCGAGGAGGACCGGAGTCCCGCATCCAAGCAAACAGATCATTCTGACAAAGGTCAGACCATCAACCAATGCCTGCACAGATTGACGCCCTATGAGAGTATTTACTCTGACAGATCGACCGGAGACACTAATATAATAGTGTAGATTGTCCCTTTTGCGCCAGTGGCTAGCGCATCCCTCCGACCACCGGGGGACGTGGGTTCGATTCCCACAAAGCCCAACTTTGGGCCCCGGGTGACCATGCATATTAGCATACGGTCTACAAGGATTTTGGGGCCGTGGCATACGGCATATCGGCCAAAAACGGATTTGGCATCCGGCATATTGGTATCTGCAATATGCCATGCCAATATGTCTACTAAGATAGTCTAATATTCGTGTATTCTGGCCCAGTGGCCCTGAATGCGGTACACTTCAATTCCGAATGTCTTGATATCTTCTGGCTTATGTATTTCGTTTATAAAGCTATGAGCAAACAATACCAGCTATTATTTATACCTTATACATTATATATCGCATGTTTTGTCAGGTTATGTGATGTTAGTTTCAGAGAAGTCGATTGAGTTAAAGTGAAAACTTACACAAGAAACTCGAAAACCTCTTGAGAAATGCGAGCGGAGGCGTATATTAGATGGACCGCTCGCTTATGCTTTGCGGTTGAGTGCAGGCTTCGGCCGAGGTCCTCAAATACGGCCGGGACCATACGGAGCCAAGCATTACAAGATCACCAAACACAGTCCCTCGCATTTTTGCTCTCGAATAAATAGTGGAATTTAATGTTCTTGCAAGTGGTGATCGAGCCTGTTACATTCGAGTACGGGGCTGCCTCGAAATAGTAAATCGGCAGGATAATTAGGTGTATGCCGTCGTTTTTGAGCTGTATAAGGCCATTTTCAAGCCAAAAAAACAAAGATTTAGCATATATGCTGATTGCATATTGCATAACCCAAAAAGAGGCGCTCGGCATATGGCATAACGGCCAAAATTCGGCTGGCATATGGCATATTGAAGTCGAAATATGCATGGTCCGGGGCCCACAACTTTCATGCAAGGGGCCTGCTTGTTCCCGGGCTTGCTGCTCTGCGGCTGCCACTGCCGAACGGTTCCACTGAACAGTGAAGTAGCCTGGCTCTCGATCTTGGACTCCGAATTTAGAACTCGATGCTGACGTAGGCCAAGATAAGAAAACTTCAGACTGGTGTCGGACGCGCGTTCGAGTTTCGACTAGGGCGGTAACGGAGACCTACTGTCCAGTCGATGTTGCAGTCAGTAACAGAATATAGAAGCGTTACAAGCGGGAGAGGGGGGGTACCTCC